CATCAGTTAGCAATGTAAAGTTATGAATTTTGGTGCTAATCAAATTCACAAACAATTGCTGAAGAAAGATCGAAAATGCACTTCATAAGAACACAACGATGATAGCTAGCGAAATAAGTGCCTTCGTTAAAATCCTCGAGAATTTTCGCACTTAAAAATACCACATTAAATGTTGATCGATTCCAAAATGTTGATCATAAAATGTTGATCGATTCCAAAACAACAGCGATGCAGTTGCCCTCTGATGCACTGCGGTAGATGAAAATTATCGTGAAAATGTACACAGAAAGCTCCGCGGTGATTATCCTATTCGATTTGCTACCGAATCGCTATGAAACTGACCATTCAGTTGATACACTTTTGTTACATAGAATTGTTTAAAGATCTGAATCAGCTGCGAATTGAAAAGAAAATACTTATCTATCAACAACACAAGAACAACCAAACATCAACTCACTCAACAGGCAATATGTGAATTTCGTTCATTTATTCATTTCAACAGAATAAATTTGGTTTTATTTCATGATTTCATTGGATCTGAATCAGCTGCGAATTGAAAAGAAAATACTTATCTATCAACAACACAAGAACAACCAAACATCAACTCACTCAACAGGCAATATGTGAATTTCGTTCATTTATTCATTTCAACAGAATAAATTTGGTTTTATTTCATGGTTTCATTGAGGTTCGGATACAGTTTGGAAGAGACACACAATCGCTTGCATTCAAACGGACAGCATTCATGAAATTCACACATTTACCTGTTACTACCGTCAAAAAGAAACAGATATTACAACGCTTGACAACCACAAGCAGTTTATGGCGTTCGCGATTCCAAATCTCGACGAATTGCGAACGTCCGTTTTGGAAATACTCGTAATTCTTGTAAACGTTTTATTGCGCTCTTGTAGCCTTTCATCTTTTCCATCGTTGGATCAAAATACTGATAGATCCACTCATCGATTGTATCATTTTTATAGATCTGTTGCATCGAGTGTCTGAAAGAGGAGAACTTTTTGAAAATTACAGTGGAAGAAATCGCACGTTTACATTCCAATGCCATTCTACACATGCAAGTACATTCATCGCAAAAGAAAGTGAATGCAATGGGGAATAATTAGTTGATATATCTCAGTTACTATGCATCCGATGCTCTTCGTTGCACTGCATTTGTTGCGCTATTCAAACAGCCTTCGTTGCCCATATGAACTTTTTCTCCAAAAATTGCAAGATTCATTTCCAGGATCTTCTTTTCTGTACGTGTTCACCTCGAGGCAAGCAACTAGCGGTCATGATTTCAATCAGTTAGTAGAAGTTTCGTGCTAGTTCTGAACATGCTCGTGGAATTTTTCGAGCATTGAACGAAAGTGTTCGCTGGAAAGCAATTTTTTTGGGCGGGTGGGACTATTCAAGAAACAAAATGGCCTATGAACAGATCTCAACCAAAAGTTCGGAGAGCGAAAGTGCCGAGGAGGATCACGTCGGGGAATGATTACGTTGTCGAAGAGTGTCAGGGAGTAATTCAACGTAGTTTTGAAGAAAATTTCCTCTCTCGATGCGTACCAATTATGTCGCTCTTCCGGAACATATTTTCACTTTTTGCCCTGTACTACTGTATTCCACCCGAATACAGCACTGAATTTTAACTTGTTGAAAATTGAAAAGTACAGTACATTACAGTCTACCAAATGTTCCAAGAGATCACATACAATTCCACTGTAAGCATATTTTTCTGAATCACATTCCACGAATCTTAATAAATGAAACAACATGCCTGATCATGTGCTCCATCTCAACTAATTGTTCGTAGTTTTCGTTTATAACATCCGACAAAGTCTTCAGGTACCACAGTTGCGTGTAGTTATGTCTTATGTTGAATCGATTCAACCATCCTCTTATCTGATGATTATCGCTCACTTCCTTTTTAATAGTTTCCTCCATTTTTGGCCATTCAATCTGGATGTGTTCAAATACACTGGAACCTTCAAATGAGTATTATTATTATCATTCCAAGTATCACTACCCTCTGTCATAAATCACCGGAAAATGCAGCTAATAATGATTATGATGTAATTAATCTATAAGACTGAATGATTTCGCGACACACTTTCAACCTACATTACAATATATGAATCAACTGAACATATTGTTGTGGTCTGGGCTAGGCATTCCGAAAACAGCAAAATTTTCGTTTCGGAAAAATCAGTAATTGTAAAAATTGACAGAATGGAACTGGAATGGGGTAGGAAATGATGCCGCGAAAGCGAAATTGATATGGTTGGCTAAAGCCAACAGGGTGGGGAATAACCACCACGTACACATACATGTTTCATATTAGGAGATTCCTTACATCCATAACTGAGAGGATACCATGAAATTTTTCTCAGATTCACTATTCACTAATGGATCGGCTAATGAGCTGATGATTTTGGAAGATCAAATTGCTTTCAGCATACCTGGAAAGATGCATTTACCGAATGATTCAGGATGACGCAACGAAACGGAATATGGACATTTCAACTGTTTAGCAACCGCTCGTGCGATGCTCTTTTCATGTGCATCCAAGCCCTTTACCGCTACCTGCAAATGAAGCGTTTCGTTCCGCGAATGCGGCAATTCCGAGTGGATCCCGAAATCGCTATAAACTCAACGGAAAAGTGACCTGATATGGAGTCGAAACATTAGAAAACTCACTTGAAGGTTAACGACCAAAGATGGTATAGAAACTGGTAGTAATTCACAAAGTACTGCAAAATGATCGTATCGTTGCCATCCGGTCAGTATAATACCACGGAAATTTTGAAAAAGTGGACCAAATTCCTGCAATTTCGTCAATCTAGTTAGTGCTTGTAAGTAGCATTGAGGAAGTGATGAAGTTGGCAAATGAGCGATATTGCCTCAGTCATAATGCAAATCTAACGAATTTGACGCGGAGACATAAAATCACGTCACAGCGAAATTTCGGGCGCTTCTCAGAATCTGATGGAACGAGCAAATTTATCTGTCTCTCTAAGCAAATCACAAATGCTTGAAACGCTTTAACAAAACAAAACACCTCATTCAATGACCTCGACATAGGATGCTTGCAAAGTTAACATTAAATGGTTCGCATGATTCGATCGAAAATAAGGCTGCGTTGAGAGCCCTTGAATAGCAATAAGGGTTCCGCTATCGCGTTTACTCTCGGCAGTCTCCGATTTGCGTGATTTCGCCCACCACCCAGCTCTGATCGAAAACGAACACAACAAATATGCTCAACAATACTAAAGTATTGAGCAAACATCTGACCAAAACTATGATCATATAAACGCTCACATCGATAATCATTCAAAAGCTCATTCGAGTGTTTTTTATAGATGAATGGGTAGCGTTCCGTAAGCTGAACAAATATCACGTAGCACATAACTCACCTTTTTTTGATCCAACCAAGCTACGTTATTCAATAAATAATGATTGATATCAATTAATTGCTCTGATGGATTGTTAGCTCCTTTGAAAGCGGATGCACCCCACACATTCGAAAACGCAGCTGATAGTTCTCGCCATGTATATTCTAAGAATTTACTCTCGTTTAGCTGACCAATGAAGACTAACGTAGTCAAACTTTAAGAGCATGCGCGTAGTTTAGTCATAAATATCCATATGAGGAACTGCATGCAAGATTCGAAAATTTAGATCGAATTAGCAGCTGAACAAGCGTCACAAACCGTTTTGTTGCTGCAGTGTTTCCGAATAATCCCATACCACTGGCTCAATGATATCGTTCAGCTTATATTGGTTGACCGTTGCAACTGAATATGTCTTTAACATATCGTGCCAAGCCAGCACCCTAAATTCTACTCTTAATTGCTATGGAAGCAGAAATTTCTTTTGAACCAACAAGATTTTTGTGCTCTTCAAACGAACACAATNAACTGAATTTAAAATTGCAAACCAACTTTGCTGTAGGCTCTAGTAAAGACTTGACATATTTAGCAATGTCTGCAATATGTCCAACCGCAAGATTTTCCAAGCCGCTTTCGCCTGCTTGACTCAAAAAAGCAACATCTTTTGCGCATGTACCGTACTGGAAAGTAAACAGTTTCTGAGATTCATCAATTTACAACAAATAAATCCAAAAAATTCTCATCCTTATTGGCGCTGAAGTAGGATAGAAACCCTTCCAAAAAGGCAGACCGAGAACAATGCTGTCGATTGTGAACAACTGAAAATCAGTCACTGAAACAGAATCAAAACAAATAGTTCACATTAAACTTCTTCGTGAAAATTCTGACATTCCACTTCAAAATCGTGTGAATGAATGAGATAATTATTACATTCTGAGTCCCCCTGAAAATTACCTAATCTTCTGCATAGTCTACTGATGAATATCAGTTCATTCATAGAAGTCAACTTAATCCTTTTCCATTGGAAGGAACATTGGTCTGAAAAAGCCCTCACCTCGAATGCTTCATCAGCTCCAATATGAAAATATTTGATGCCATATGGTTTGTGCATTTGAACAACTTGCTTGATTGCCTCCTTGACTAGCTCTACACCGTCATTGTCTTTCATACAAATCACCTGACATTAACGCTTTAGTCCTTTCTTTATCGCACATTTAAAAAAGTATGATCATTCGAAGTAATCGAATGATCATGTTGACCTATACCTATAGTTGACCTATACTATGCTCTCTATCAACATCAATAGCTGCGAAAGTTCGAAATTGGATTTGTATGCATATCTCTAAATGCTCAGTCACCCATTTCGACCCGAAAATTTTAAGATTTCTACGTGTCTCAATGAAGTTGCTATGCCCACCTGTGCATACTGATCACTTTGACGATATTTTCGGAACTTATCCAATTTCAAAATCCACTCTAAATGACCGAACGTTTGTACGAGTGGAATAACATCGAGACCAAGAGTCTGAGCGGTACTCAACAGGTCGCGGACTTCGGTCACTGTATACGCATCAGAACATCGATTCTCTTCCAATATGCCATTGAATGGAAACATATCCTCCCATTCGATCAGGATTCCTTTAAAAAAATTGTCTTTGCTCAAACTATCGCAAATATAACTAACTTATCTTAATATGTCCAAATGTGTAGTGTTTTGCCTTCATCATCAAATCCGTCAAATTTTCTCAGAATACCCAATTTATTTTCTAAGTAACTTGTTTTTTGTGAAAGCACTATAAGCCTCATGCTTCATATCTATGGTGCTATTGTGGAAGGAGTCATTGAAACGCATGCGTAATCTAAAACAGCTAACTTGATGTCTAGATTTTATGATTTCTATTCTAACGAATAATTTTAGCGATATAATGACGGCACGATCTCAAAAACTCCAAAATTGGCTTCATGTCACAGATTTCAATCATCGTTTCCAAAGGATTATTTTTCTAAATCTTCTGCCTCACTTAACATGTATCATGATGTCAGAAGATAATATCTTTAGATTAGGAGAATCTTCGCTGAATGCGCATTGTGAACATGTATGAAAGCGACTGAAACCTGTAGCGCCATTCTCTTTGATCAATCGGAATACTTGTTTCAAATAATCCACTTTTGGTGCCGCACCTTTCAAATCGAAGTGTACGATTCGATTAGTGTAAAATGAATTCTGAAAGCAATTATTGGCATAAAAATATTGCAGTGATGGGCAATAGCTCGCTATTCACTATTCCGCTACTAGTGGAGTAATCCAACGTTGAGGAGTGTAATCCACCGAATTAAATTTTTTAAAATATTCAAATGAATGATGCGAACTTCTGCTTCTGAGCATTACCTCTCCTCTCAATTCACTCGATTCTACAGAACTGCGTTGAGCTTGAAAAAAATCTAACTAACTAAAATAGCAGTGTCTCTTATTGAATATATTCATATTCACATTTGAATGTAATTCACTGTTGATTAAATATGGATACCATACAACTGAAAATACATTCATAAATCAAAGCATCTAAAAACCTTCGGTTCATCGGCACTGCTGGCTTGACGTACAGGCAAACGTGTATCTTGACGTACAGGCAAACGTGCATCTTGACGTACAGACAAGTGTGCATCGTAATCTTCAATTTGGAAATCACGTTTGCTCATCATCCTCTCTTCATCGTTATCCTGCAATATCTACGTTTTTGAATG